ATTCAAGTTTGTTCAAATGATGACCTCTGGGATAGGGAGGAGCCACAATGGGGGATCAAAATTTTACAAAGGAATATATGGGAAAATTTTTTTAAAATCTTCTCAAGTACAACAAAGCCATTTGTTATATTGACATGGAAGCATCATCAGGTAGTTTAAAATTCACCCCCCCCCCCAACCCCCGGTAATCTTTTCAATACTGAACTGATTTGTGTCTAGCCAATGTGCTCAGGTGAGCGATGTGGCCCATGGGCCTCTTGTTCATTAAAATAGTACTTCACAGCTTAACAATATCACAAGTTATTTATTGTCTATAGAGAATATAAACAAGTTTCCTACTTTTTAGTTGAACATACTGTGGTTGATAATTATACCTTAGATCATATCACAGTGAGTTAACAATTTTTACAAGTTTGATATATGTTTTAAAGTAGTTTTCACACATTCATAGTCTTAATCAAAGAGCATTTCGTGTATAAAAACCTAGATATTTATTGTTGCTTTAATATTTTGTTTAATATTGTTTTAATTTGCTGTGTTTCTACAGAAATGTTTTTAAATACTGCCATATATGTATAATATATCAAATGTTTCCTCTATGAGTATGTATTTTTGGCATGTGAAAATTGTGAAAAAAGAAATATTAAATTATATATATGTAAAACTTACATTGCAAATGTTTTCCCTTATGATTATATAGCACTGTTTTGAGCAATGCATATCTATACATGTATCTACTGTATAAAGGGTAATTTTCACCCAAATCCTACTTGCAAGTGATTTAGCTCCATTTTAAATTCACTCAGAGACAGTTGTGTTAAAGATATAAAACTGATTGAATTCTCCTGTTTTAAAATTCAACAAGGTTGAAGGGAGCAAATATTGGGACAAATACATATATTTCCCTGTGTATGGTGTCAATACATTTTGTCACATAACATGCAAACATCTATAGGGATTTAAAGATAATTGTTGGTAAGTGATCAAATCTACCATGAAGCCCTTCTTTGTTAATAAAGGGGTCCTTTGAGATTTACTTCCAATCATGGCTCAGGTAAAATGACTCCCCAACTCTCCTCCCATTTCAGACATTTTCACACCAGGTGGGAACTCAATTTTTGAATAACGTCAGTGATAAAACTACCAAGGAAGTACAGCATATAGTTAATTTTTTTTATTTTACTAGATGCATGACAATTTGGACACACATAGTGAATATTTGTCATCTATTGTATTTGACAGGGGGAAGTGATTAAAGTCCTGCACTTGATTTTAAAGCACCTGCTCGTTTTACACCTTACTGAAAGATCTGAAAAGGAACATCCCCCAGAATAATACCCTCTATTCAAATTTGCATAATTCAGTGTAAATATACAGCAGAATACTGTAAAACAACCTGAACTTGACGATTTCAAAAGAATGATCTATATTCTTTGAAACTGTGGTAGATTTTTTGTCCTTCAGCAAACAGAAGAATAAAAAAAATAAGGAATTGTCCTTCAGCAAACAGAATAAAAAAATCAGGAAATAAAATCTCATTTCTTTATTGAATATGAAAAAGTAATGCTATAACAAGAAAAAAATTGGTAAATAGCAATATGATTATGTATACATATATTTCATTTAAGAAAACATATAATTGATATATATATATACACTAGATAAGTAAATGCAGTTTGATATGTTTAAAGGACGCAGAGTGTCATAAAGGTTGCATTACTCATCTGATATGCCTGGTTATTTAACATCCAAACAAGGATGTAAATTACAGCGACACAGATTGAAGATTATCTATGGTAATAGTTTTAGACCATCCTAGACAAATACCTGTGCCCAGGTATGGAGTATATGTATATTTACATTTAACACTTGCATGGGAATAAAAAAAATGGAAATCCCTAAAAATGAATAATATCATATGTGTAGCACTAGTTTTTGATTTTAACAATACAAGTATGATGAATCTGGAATGTAAAGTTTGCGTACGTACAATGAAGCTTTTTCATCATGTACAAACAGTCCACATATATCTCTATCTATATATTAAATATATATCACATATACTTTTTAATTGTATATCAAAAATTCACTTTTTAAATTTCAGATTAAATAGAATCTTCATACAGTTTTCTGTAATCTCACTATATTATGCTGTAGTGGTATATTCCCATCTCTTTTGTCCATATCTATTTTCACGATGCACATTTTCCACACCTATTTAGATCCACACCTGCTTAGATCTCTTCCCTCCACTGAGCATATGAACGTGGAGTGACGGAGCTATGAGAGAAAGATTGGTCATGAAGGATTTGCTCTAACTCCTGCTGTGTGTCCACTATGTGGATTTGGAATGGAGATCCAGGGACGTCCACTCCGGACCAGCGGACACTGATGATGTAGAGACCGGTCTCTGTCGGGTCATACCGACACAGGATCGTGCGGTCTCTCTGACTGTCTCGGTACATCTCCACCTGGAATCCACCTGTTAGAGAAAAAACAGAAAGAAGTTTTAATATACTGGATTAGATTCTGTTATGTGCAGAAATATAGTAAATCATGCTTATAACAAAGTGCCAGAAACAATTTTGCTTCATTATAAACATGATTTATTATATCTGTTAAGTTCACAATATATTTTAGAGCCACAGGGAATGAAAATCACTTTGCTGTAAGCATCAATTCATTATAATCATGTTTACTATAAGTGTGTTTTACTGTTCTTTTGGAAAATTGAATTTCATTTAATTTTTGGACAAAATTCCTGAAAAAAATTACATCCTTGATTTTATTTCTCCAGGGATTATACACTACAAAGTTAACTTATCTAATAATACCAGGAACATTTATACTTCTCGAAATCACTGTTAAGTATAATATCACAAATATTTTATCCTGGGCTGAAAAAATTTCTGCAATTCAAGTGAATCTTGTCCTTTCATACAAAAGATAAACCTATACTTCTTTTGTAAATTTAAAAAAATTACATCACTTTTACAGGCAGAAAAATTTTGCAATGATACAAAGACAATCGTTTCCTGAAATCTTTGGAATATATGTACAATCATTTCCTTATTTGACCTATGCTGCACTTTACGTTTGTGTCTCATTGGTTTATTGAAGCTTGTTAAATAAACATGACACAACTTCTGTAATAGAATCCAGGTAAATATTTCCTTGTATTTACCTTTGGGACCCCGGATCCTGACTGTCAATTGTCCTGCCCCAGCTCCTCTTGTCTCCACAATAAATCGACTCTGGAATGTTGCTAGGATACCATGTTCCACACCAGGGCCTGTAACTCTGACTTTGCTAGCATCAGGTTGAGCATTAACTTTCAACACAAATGGACTTCCTACAAAACAATTTTTTTTTGAAGTTATAAATTGCAAAATTTAGGTTTACAATTTATATAAAGAACAAGAAAAGGGGCATAATTAAAAATCTGGACACAGAGTTTGGCACCTACCATTGACATGTTCTCCTCCATATTTGACCTGTAGAACATGTTTGCCGGGTTCATGTGGTTTGATTTTTAGTATAAACGTTCCATCATGATTGTCCTGTAGTTCACAGTATGAAGCTTTAGAGGGACCCATGCAATAGGCTGTTAACTCACCTACACATACAAAAACACAATGTATAGTTCCCAAACAGACAAAAAAATCACAATTCTAAAGTCCCCAAACTTACAAAAACACAATCTTATGAGTCATATTTGCAAGCTTACTTACTTAATGTCAGTCCTCTAACAGAATGGATTTTGAATGGAAGATGCATTGAAATTTATCAAATACTGTAAATTTTGAAAATGAGAAATAAACATTATGGTACCTGGGCCAGCTTTCCTAGTGTCTATGGCAACATCCATACTTCTACCCAGAATTCCTCCTCGGAGTCCTTCCCCCGACACGTTGACCTTGTTGGGATAGAAAGTTCCTACAACATTGACCTTGTACGGTGACCCCCTGAGCTGTCTGCCATTCCAGGTGATGTTGAGGAGATATGCCCCTGGCACCACTGGGATGTAGGTACACCTGTGTTTGCCACCACCCAGATTGACGACCTTCACATTGATCTCTGCTCTTACTCCAGTCAAGGTCACTTCTGGGGCACCTGCATTCAAAGAGAAGAAGGGTTGAGCACTATACAGCCAAAATATGACTGGTATTTGAAATGGGGTATATAATCCTTGTTTGATTTTATGTTCATTCCATTTCTTCTGTGACAACCAACTTAATTCATTAACAGTATACAATACATGCATGAACATGAATATGACTTTTGTTAATGTCATCAACTGAAAATCTCTTCTTCTTTTTTTTCAATTCAGTATATGAATTATTTAACAATCTAAAATAATTAATTTTAGGGGATTTTTTTGTATAGCAAAGCATTAGGTTTATTCAGCATATATGTGTTTGAAAGCTGACTAAAACT